TTAAAGGAAAAACAAACACAAATATAATGAAAGAAGAAGAAAAGTTGTAGTTCAGGTGACATCGGTAACCACGTTCCTCTCTTGGTTTTTAGTTTTTGAGGGAGACCATGTTTGGATAAAATGAAAGCTCACCCGTGTGTATCTGGGACTGACCAATGTCCCTGGGCTGTCTAAGCGGGCTGGTTCCCTCGTCTGGTCAGGGGCTGGGCCTCAGCGGAGGCAGGGACACTGGCTTTACCTCCAACCCTGGTTTCCTTTGCATTTTGCCCTGTGGTCAATTGAGTGAACTGGGTTTCATTCGTGTGTTGGTCAAATCCCAAACATTCTGATCCTGACAGCACTAGAATTTAGGGGAAAATAGAGCTAGGAGTCTTTGCTCAGCCTCTGAGTTTACACCAAGCCCTCCAAGTTAGACCTGAGCCAGAACTCTGCAGTTGAGTAGCCAACTTCTATACAACCTCTAATCATTTTTTAAATGCCTTGGGTTCCCTCTCTGCTATCAGCTTATTTGAAGATAGCTCCTGTGGGAGCCCTAAGGTAAGAGAGGTTCTCGTCAGAGAAAGAGACATTGATACGTTCCTGGCTTTAATTTCATCTTACTACCATAAAAAAATACTTGCCCTTCACACTAAAGTACAAGGCACCATCAGTAAGAGAGATGTTTAATGGAAAGTAATTGAAATGAAATCTTAAACATTATGAGCTCAAACATCTAGAAAGGCAAAAAAGACAGAACAGAATTTTCTTGGAAGCTCAGATTTAGCCCAGGTCTCTGTGACTATGTTTAAAGAAATGAATCAAAAAATAAGTAACTGAAAATTAAAAACAGTAAGAGCTTCGTAAAGACATTCATAAAATTAGAAGCATAACGGCCCCCCCAGTGCTAATTATACAGGGTAGAAATAAACGTGTAAATGAATGAATAAAAAGAGGAATGGAAGATGAGTTATCTTTAAAGGCGAGAATTCCAGATTTTTGTGATTGAACATCTGGCCACAGACAGGAGAAAGCCACGGAGCGCTTGGTGCTTACTCTCGGAAATGCTTTCACGCCTGAATGGTGAGAGTTTGCAGAACTCTTTATGCATCGCCCTGGATTCATGGAGACAGCCTCTTTGGTGTTACTGGGCAGCCTACAACACTCCCAGAGCAAAGGGCTCATTCCTGGATGCTTTTCCTACCTCGACACGTGGGCAGAGGGCTACTCCACTGGCCGTTGCTCCGACACTGGGCTCGAGACGCGCCCTGCAGCAAATAGCCCGTGTTACAGGTGAAATTCACGACGTCATTCAGGTTGAACTCGCTGCCATTAGTGAATCCGTGGGCAGGGTTTCCAGGGTGACCACATGTGATGGCTGTAGAGAGACAGGTCAACGCCATTGTTAAATATCGAACAGGTCATCACCTTCACTTGGGATCATTTACTAAGAAACATGCAGGCATGCTAACTGCATGGACTGAAGGTTTTCCACTAATCAGGCAGTTTACAGATGGCATTTATATTCGGAAGCGAATATTGGGAGCTAGAACCACAGGCTGACCCTACAGGCTTTTAATATAATTGTGGAAAATAACAAACACCTGCCAAATGCACTTTCTTCATCATCATAATTATTACTTCTCTCTTGAATCATGACAGAATACCAAATGCTTTAAAAATGAAGCAGTGAAAAACAAGAGATGCTAAAAATTCTTGTATTAATCATGAGTTTTGAATATTTTCTCCATACACACCAGCTGAGTTTGCGAAGCCCTCCTTTTGAGACAGTATGGGGATTTGTTTGATACTTTAAATTGTCCATGTATAAATTATTGCAATATCAATTTACACATCATGAAATTAGCAAAATAACTAAGCACACTCAGGTCCTATTTTGTTGAGAATCTCTGTCGTATGATCCTTTGAAATGCAGGGAACTGTCATTATGTCATGACCCAGATAACAGCAAGACAGATCAGGGAGAGATATCCATCATTCGCCCTTTCAAAAGAAACACACTACAGTCATAAAACTGGTGTTTTCTTCCCCATTTATCTTGTCAACGATGTTTTTTCCTCTAAGTAAAGCTTTAACCCTTGAACTTTGTACATTTTCACAGCACTGTTACATATAATCCTTGTCACTGTTTTATTAACATTTCTTTTGTCTAATTCAAAGGAAAATACACAATATTTTAGAAAAACAATTGGTTTAGGGGAAATTGGACAATAAAGTGAGAGTATATTACTCTAAAAATAGTCAATATTTATCTCTGAAGTTATGTAGTTCAACGTTGATCATTCATTACATGTAATTTTACGTCTTTCTTTTTTTTTTTTTTTTGTTTGGAAAACAGAGTCTTGCTCTGTCGCCCAGGCTGGGGGGCAGCGGCGCGATCTCTGCTCACTGCAACCTCCATCTCCAGGGTTTAAGCAGTTCTCCTGCCTCAGCCCCTCCTAGTAGCTGAGATTACAGGTGCTGCCACTATGCCAGGCTAATTTTTATATTTTTAGTACAAATGGGGTTTTGCCATATTGGCCAGGGTGGTGGTCTTGAACTCCTGACCTCAGGTGATCCACCCGCCTTGGCCTCCCAAAGTGCTGGGATTACACTCGTGAGCCACTGTGCCTGGCCAGTTTTACCTCTTTCAAGTAAAAGAAAGAATGCTTACAAAACTCCCTATATTCTTGACGAAACAATGACAAAAATACACGTAACATGGATGAGGCAGGGAGTGGCGCTGTTTCTAAGACTGCAAAGCTGCCCAGCAGACCCCAGACCCTGCACCTACACCCTCCTACAATCAGCTTTTCTCTCCACCCAGTTTATCCTGTGATAATATCAGGGAGGAGGAATCCATGACACTACTTAGCCAGGGATCCATTGAAAATGAATTAATAAGCAAATTAAATGTGGAGTCAGGAAAAGGAGTTTGAAGGAAAGAAAATGGGAAGGAGATCCGAAGAAAGGAAAGCGTGCACATGACAGCTCTCCCGTTCTCTTTCTTTGTACAGGCAAAATCGAAAGTTTGCTGCTCTGTTTCACAGTGAAGATTAAACAGGTGTGTATTGTGACCTAATAACCAAAGACACTGTGGCAAAAGGAAGCATCTGATGAATTCATCCACAAAGAGTGCACTTACGGACACAGACAGGCGTTTGTCCAGACCACTTATGGTCTTGCAGGCATATCCTCACGGAAGTTCCCACGAGCCGGAAACCAGGATTGCACTGGTAAACCACAGTGTCTCTGTAACTGAAACCATCTCCACTAATGTGACCATTCACAATTGGGTCTGGGGAACCGCAGTGGCCAGCTAAAAGCATAAAACCAATTTTAAAATTTAGAGTGTTTGTCATTTATAAAAGTAGTGCCTTCATAACTTACTTTTATTATCAAGTCAATAACAGTATTAAAGGCATAACTTATTGAAATCTTTCTCTTCACATATATATGCATACTTCTAAATAGTTTTTCTTCTTTTTATCATTTTTTTCAGAAATCGTAGATAAAATAAGTAATATTTCTAATATGAAATGGTTTGTATTTTCCTAGTTGTGATTTTCCCATCTATTCATTTCACTTATTTTGCTTACCTGTATTCTGTTATTTACCTTGTTATACTATTTTCAAATCAAAGCAAAAAGTAAAGAAGGAATTCTTGGAATTAGCATGAACAGGGCTTCTTAACGTATTGATTATGGGTAGTTAGGAGATTGGTGAGGAGGGCTTCTAATCTGACACACTAGAAAATCAAAAATCAAATTACCTGTGAAATTCCAAGTGGAAAGAAAGGGATCAGAGAATAAGTTCAACTTGAATTACGAAAATCTGAGTTACAAGTGAGCCGATGTCTGGGTAAAAATGGCCCAGAATCAGTTGAAAAGAAAGTGTAGAGTTTGAGGGACAGATGTGCTGAAGTTAGTGTGGGCTTGGGAAAACAGGAGCATGCACAGCTGACGATTCAAACTAACAGGTGGCAGGGCTTATCTAGGAGCACAGTGAAAGAACAGGAAGAAGGGCAAGATCGGGGCAGGCGTCTTTACTTAAGGGGAGACAGAATGTCCATGTAGACAGTAAAACAATTGACAAACATGGCATTGAAAGAGCTTTAGTAGCAGAGCTTCCACATGGAGAAGGATCCTCTGACATTATTCCACTCCCTCCCACCTTTCTTTTTTTTTTTTTTTGAGACAGGGTCTTGCTTTGTCACCCAGGCTGGAATGCAGTGGCATCATCACGGCTCACTGCAGCCTCAAACTCTTGGGTTCAAGTCATCCTTTGGCTTGAGCCTCCTGAGGAGTTGGGACTACAGGTACGTGCCACCATACCCGAGTAGTTTATTATTATTATCAGCAGTACTAGTAGTAGTAGTAGTAGTAGTAGTAGTAGAGACGGGGTCTCATTATGTTGTTTAGGCTGGTCTTCAATCCCTGAGCTTAAGCAATCCTCCTGCCTCAGCCTCCCAAAGGGCTGACATGACAGGTGTGAACCACCACAACTAACCATTTTATTACCTTCCCTTCCGTCTCCTTCTGCCTCTTTACTGCTCTCACTTTTCCTTCTTTCCTCCAACTTCTTCTGTTCTCTCTCTCCCTTCCTCACATATATGGAAAGGGTATTCTTATTAAATCAACAAAATACAAAGGCTTAAGGGTAACTTACATGAACGGGACCTGTTACACCTGGGGTTTGGATTCGCAAGAAGAGGAAAACATTCGCTGTGAGTTCCTAAATAATCATCTTTGTCACTGTCCTATAGTTGCATCAACATTTATTTTGCTTAATTCACAGGAAAATAAAGAATAAATCAGACAAACAATTGGTTTAAGAGGAATTTTGCAATAAAGTGAGAGTACACCTATTCTCAAAGTAATAGTCAATATTTATCTTTGAAGTTATAGAAAGGAACTTATCATACGGAAACAGCTACAGAAGCCTGGGGTCCATGCAGAATATCAAGGTGGAGATTTTCCCTGCCCACTTATTTCCCCAACAGGGAACACAGCCAATGATGCTCCACACAAGTTCCTGCACATCCAGATTTCAGAAATTGCAAAATTGTTGTCATACTCCTTTGGGATTAAGTATACCCTTCTAGGGAAATTTAAAATCATAATCTGTATTTCTGCTTAAGATAAAGTTTAGAAACATTGTGTTCTCCTATTTTGGAGAACAAATTTATTATTAGCAAGGTAACATTGCAGAGGAAAGAGAGAGAAGAGAATCTGATCTCTGCCTCAACTCGTAGAAGAGATTAGATCACAAAAAGCCAGGCTAGATTTGGCTAATTTTAGTGCATTGGCAGGTATTCCAGTCAATCGGATCGATAAGTCAGTTCTGGGGATCTGTCCCAATCACTCCCACACATGAGACTTGATACAAGCAGAGAAGGTGGATGAGGGTGAATGTTGTTCATATTTTGAAGAGAGACCCCCTGAAGCCGCAAGTGTTACCAAAGGCACAGAGGACATTGGCTCTGAAGGTTCCCCCTTTCCAGACACTGTCCTTTGCATAACATGCTCTGTCGTGCATGGGGGAGATGGAGTCATCATTCCAATCCTAGAGACAGGGAGACGAGGACTGGTGAGAGCCAGAGGAGCCCATCAGCCCAGCACAAGAGATCCCAGCCATTTCTGAGGTGAGGCATAGAATAGCCAGTTTCTAGAAACACACAATAAAATGACACCAACAATTCCTTTTGGGATTACTTCTGAAGCCTGGAACTACTCCAAGAGGAGGGGACTTGGGACCAAAGGTAACAGTGATGTGAAGAGGGGTGCATTTTAATAGAGCCCGTCTCATTTTAGATAATCTGTTCAGGCCTCATTCTTGACTTAGAGAAACATGACTCCTTTGAAGCCTTACCATTTTTCTAAACTGAGTTTTTCATAAGTACACATAGTTTGAAGTTGCAGTCTTCTTTGGGAACCTGGCAAACAAGTACTTGTAATGGTCAAGGAAGCACCTGTGTACTCTAGAAATCAGGCAGGAAGCCTGACAGTCAGGATTGTAAATAAAGATTCCCAACAGCAACTCCTGTCTGACACATTGTCATTTCAGTTCTCTGAGGAATTGGCACCAAATGCCTAAAGAAAACAGAGGATGTCCTTCAAAAACACTGCATTTTACCTCCTTGCCTGATGAAAAAAAAAGTTACGTATCATCAGGATTGCCTAGTATCTAAGCTTGCTAATATGGAACAATTATTTCTTCAATGAGGCTTCCTATTTTGAAACAAGGAGATAGCAATCTGGTTTTCACTTATTTTCACTGCCCAGCCATCAGTTAATTCTGTTTTAAAACATTCAAAATCTTAGACCAATTGTAGGTTATTACAACTAGAGGATAACCACACAATTTCACTCACAGAATACTATTTAACCCAAATCTCAATGATATCGTGTCAATATGTTGAGGAAGGGAAAATTGCATTAGGAGGAATTTGAACTTAATGAATTTTGAGCTCTATTTTAAATTTAAGATTCTATTAGTCTATGATAGTATTATTCTATATGCTTTGTATGTGAGTTACTTTTTATTTTAATATCCTTAATGTAGTCTCGGTTTTGAGTCATCTACACAAAACCTAGAAAGCCCCTCTCTCTTTCATCAGAATGAAATGTAATATGTTCATGCTTCTCTGCAGTGTCTCTAACACATTAGTCACTCACTGAGTACTTGTTTAAATGAATAGAAATAGAATAACCTCACCACTGGGCAGTCTCGCTCTGTTGCCCAGGTTGGAGTGCAGTGACATGATCTTGGCTCACTGCAAGCTCCACCTCCTGGGTTCATGCCATTCTCCTGCCTTAGCCTCCCAAGTAGCTGGGACTGCAGGTGCCCACCACCATGCCCAGCAGCTAATTTTTGTGTTTTTAGTAGAGACGGGGTTTCACCTTGTTAGCCAGGATGGTCTCGATCTCCTGACCTCGTGATCTTGGCCTCCCAAAGTGCTGGGATTACAGGCATGAGCCACTGTGCCCGGCCAAATTCATATGATTTTTAATCCAACGTATATAGATAGATAATGTAAATATATCCTCATGGAATTGCTGCATTTTCTTTTAGCTCAAGCATGAATTAACAATTCAATTACTACCACACTTTACGAATTTTACATTTTAATTCTTCATTTTCTCCATGCTGAGGACAGGTATGACTGTGGACGGGGTAATTCACCAACTGCTTAAAACTGTTGAGAGAACCAGTGACAAAACCAAGAATGCAATGGTCTGCTCTGGTGACTCCATTTTCCGCACTATACTACAAAACATGTCATTGGAATAAGAATACTGTGGCCAGGCGCAGTGGCTCACACCTGTAATCCCAGCACTTTGAGGGGCTGAGGTAGGTGAATCACCTGAGGTCAGGAGTTCAAGACCAGCCTGGCCAACATAGTGAAAGCCCATCTCTACTAAAAATACAAAAATTAGCCAATCGAGGTGGCACATGCCTGTAGTCCCAGCTGCTTGGGAGGCTGAGGCAGAGGAATCGCTTGAACCTGGGAGGCGGAAGTTGCAGTGAGCTGAGATTGTACCACTGCATTCCAGCCTGGATGACAGAGCAAGACTGTCTCAAAAAATAATAAAAACAATAATAATAATAATACCATGAAACCTCAGAACCACTGAGGTGTTATATGTATGGACTCTGCAGTACACTGGGTGGGTCCTAGGAATCTCGACATCTTTCCTGCATTACAAAGAGTTTCCGTACCCTAAGCTTTGAAAATCACTAGTTTTTCAGTCTACTCTATTCTGTGTCTGACGAAAGTTTTGTTACTGTTTGTATTTATAAACTGCTATTATATTTTGGTTAAAATGTCTCAAATAGAAAAAAGGTGAGGTTTTTTTTTAACAATCTTTCTCTAAAATTGGATTTGAAAGAAATAAAATCTACCAAACGTTTGAACAAAGCACAGAGACTGGTAGCAAGATGGATGGAATATTGAGTCCATTTTCATAGCAAAGAAATAGAGTATGTCACAAGCAAAATGTCAGGAAGAAGGCTCGAGAAGGAGGAAAGGCCTAGCTTCTTGATTGGTCAAGGTTTGCCTGCAAACTACATTTGTGCCACAGCACTCAGGAGGGCAGAAAGGGGCTGAATTCCCTCTGTGAGGTCAGTTTAGTCTGAGGTTCGTTAGGGACAGACACAGGGGAAACCACTCACTCCATTAACACCCACACAGTGTGGCCCACACTTAGACCAGGGGACGCCGCACACCTGCCGTTTACAGAGTTTAACACAGGAGAGCAGGGGCCTCCGCAAGGATGGCCTCTCAAAGACTTTGTTTCTAGAGTTCCATCTCAATTC